ATTGGACTTCATCAAAATTAAGTTTCTCCTCTTTGAAAGAAACTGTTGAGAAAATAAAAAGACAAGTCACAGAGGAAAAAATATTTGCAAATCACATGTCTGATAAAGGACTTGTAGCCCAAAATATATACAGAACTCTTAAAAACTCAATAGTAAGAAAAGAAAACTCATTACTTTTCAAAAATGGACAAAATGCTTGAACAGACACTTCATCAACAAAAATATATAGATGGCAAATAAGCATATGAAGAGATGCTCAATATCATTAGTCATAAGGTGAATTGCAAATTAAAACCACGAGATACCACTGCTTATTCGCTAAAACTTAAAAGACAGACAATATTAATTGTTGACAAGGATGTGGAGGAACTAGAACTCACATACACTGTTGGTGGAATGCAAGATAGTACGGCCACTTTGGAAAAATAGTACAACAGTTTCTTTTAAAGTTAAAACAAACACCACAAAATCAAGCAATCTCACTCCAAGGCATCTATCTGAGAGAAATGAAACCATATGTTAACACAAAAATCTGAGAACAATCATATATAGTAGCTTTATTCATAATCACCAAAAACTAGAGACAAACCAAATGTCCTTCAACAGACGAATGGATAAACAAATTGTAGGATATTCCTAACATGAAATATTACCCAGCAATAAAAAGGAACTAAATGCTGATGTATGCAACGAGATGAATGAATCTCAAAAATATTATGCTAAGTGAAAGAAATCAGACACACACAACCACTTTATTATTCCATTTATATGACATTTAAGGAGTGGAGGAAGGGATAGGAAATTGACTACAAAGGGAAACAAGAGAACTTTTTAGGGTGACAGAAATCTTCTATATCTTGATGGTGGTGGTGGTTATATGACTCTATAGAATGTACATTTGCCAAAATTTATTTTTCCTGTGTGTAAATTATACCTCATTAAACCTCAATTTATAAAATTTAAAAATACATATCTTTTGATCCAGACATCGCACTTTGAGAAATCTATTCTACAGAAATAAATGCATCAATATGTATATAAATTAATGTAAATTAATAGGGAAATGGTTAAAGTATGTTGTATTCAATACTATAGAATATAATGCAAATAATTTTAAAGACCTTGAAATAGTCCTTTAAGCACTAATGGTTTGTAGGACTGACAAAACAGTTCTCCTTTCACTGATCCGAGCCCTTTTGCTCAATTGAATTTAGAGGAACAAGCCACAACAGGGAAGTAGGAGCCTCTTTTGCTCAATTCATTTGCCCCAGTAGCACAGTGAAGCTAACTACAGGAATCCCAGTTCGCTTTGGAATCTAATGACTGAAAAAAGAGGTACAAAACCAAAAGTGGCAACCAATAACATGACAAGGGTCCTCATAAAGGCATAATGGAAAGCATCTTGAGTAACGCCATCCATTTATAGTGGCAATGGTTCAGGCTGCCTGGTTACAGAGGGTTGACTAGATGACTTCGCAGCACAAATAAGTTTTTTAAAATCCGACCTCATTTCAGGATCATTCACTATGTTCTAGATACTATGCAGAATGCTACACAAACATGATATTCCTTGCCCTCCAGGAGTTTATGTTCTAAACAAAATCCTAGAAAATGTATCGTCCCTTAAGGCTGACTGTTAACTTTTGTTTTCTGTCTTTCATTTGATTATAGTACAGGGATCTGCCACAAAAGTTCAATTTACACCTCAAAAAGGGAGGGAGGTGGCAAGGTGAGGGGAGACAAATAACTGAATCTGAACCTATAAAAGTTACTTAATAGATGTCAAAATTATCCCTTAAAAAGTAGTCTTCAAGTAAATTCATTTATTATATACACAGCAGAACATTTATAGAGCATTATTACATTAAGAATCATGAGCACAAAGAAATGGAAGACATGATCCCTGTTCTTTCTTAAACGATCCTATCCAACTCTCCCTCTCATTTATCATGCCTTAAGTAACATACACAGTTACGTTAGCACACTTAGACTCAAGAAGCTGCAGAACAAGCAAACATGCACATGTTGGTGAGTTAGTGTGAAAAGCGCAGTGTACGACTCACCACCATGTAAAATAGTTCTATCACTGATGTTCTACCGGAATTTCTCCATCACCTTCCCATAACGTTAGAATTTACTTCAAAAACCCTCTAGATTAGGTGAGGCTAACATTATTTCTAATACTATGTAAATCATTCAAATGAAAACATTAAGACATGTTTAATACCATGCAAAACCACAATCCACTTTTCTAAAAATATGATATAACGAGAATATTTCAATAAGATATATGCATTAAAGAATTATTAGTTTCTATTAACTGGGCTGTCACTAAGGACTGTAGAGTTGTTTCCTTTTATTAAATGTTCAGAAGACGCTCAAAGCTAAAATATCATTTGCCCTCATCTGAGGGGTGGCTGTTTAAGAGAGATCATGAGCTGGAATACATAACATGAAGGCATGCCTCTTACCTCAAGGCTGACAGACACATCAGCTAAAGATGGAACATCTAAGAATGAGGGCTTGCCTGTGAGGTGGAGGGCAACAACCATCATTTTTAACATGCTTTTAACCATCTAACATTTCAATCACTTTACAAATTTCTTACTATACTGATTTTTCAGTCACTTTATAAATTTTTTTCCTATACTGTGAACTTAGGTGTCCAAGGCCAGGAAACAAATATAATACACTGCTACCCATATACATGAACTGGGGAGAAGAGCTGAGGCGGGGGCAGAGGTATGCAAAAGTGATCTCTTTCTGAGATTTTGAAGGCCCAATTTCCTCATCCTGTTCCCACATAAATACTTTCATTGCAGATATTTCAAACATTATGCCATAGTTATATAAAATAAGTGGAACATCACCAAACAGAAATCCTAGAGTAGGTGTTCTGAAAATGTTGGTAAAGAAAGTCACTTCATTTGAGAGGTCTCTGCCCCTTCAACCTCACCCTCCTTACCAATATACATTCATCACCGAAAAGGGAAATATTTACAAAAGTTAGTTTAGTTATGTTTAAATATTATGTTTAGCTGTCTGGAGACCATGTTCTCAAAATTTATACAAGAAATCAAGGATTAAACTTCATAACAATTAGAAAACCACACTGTGTAAAATCAAAGACTTAGTTAAAGGACATTAAAATAGTTTTACCATTGGTGCTAAATTGAAATGACTCCATCTCTTCCCAACACCTGGAAACAAAACCTTTTGAACTTTCATATAAACACACCCAGGCACACCAAATGCTCTGTCTGCGGCAAGGTACCACCTCTGCACAGGCATTTGGGTGAAAAATGTGGAAAATGCCTGAGGACTCTTTGAAGCAGCTTGGGAGAAGTGAGAGCAGGAAAGAGGCTCTTCTCTCGAGTAAGTTTGTTTAGTGGAAAGTAAGCAAGTTGTCAGGGTAAAAGTTGACAATGTTGATTCCAACAGTTTGAACTGCGGATAAACATCCAAAGGGATTATGTTACTGAGAATTAGAAAAGATTCCATTGAACTCAACAGAACACTTGTGTTTTCAAAGATAATATGCCTTCAAGCCACACTCTGGATCCACAGTTTAGGGTTAGAATTACCCTAAGCCCTTTCTATGCCACATTAAAGAACATGGGGTCTGACCTCTTTAATATGTGCCTAAAAATATTAGAATAAGGATGAAATAAAAATATTTCATTTCCAATAACTGAATTGAAAAATGCTAAATACATGTACATTTGAGGTAGACTGAAGAAATTTGGAGAAAAATCTATGTTCTTCCCAAATATCTAAACTTAAACATAGTTTCACTAACCAGTTTAGGGAAATACATGCATACATAATTGGCCAAAAATTACTTTTAAGTTTTGCCTCCTAATGACATATCAAAGAGCAAAAAATAGGGCCTATACTTATGAAATTCATAATCCTCTTCTCTGCTCACCAAAGCCACATTTAAATCTGGCTTTCATCTCATTCTGTTGGGTTTTCTACCAGGTACAAGATGAAAAGTTGGAGGAGTCTTATGCTTTTTCAAAAGCAAAACAATCTAGTTGCCACTCAGCAATTCCTGCTGAGATACCAGGAGGCCCGTAAAAAAGTTAAAATTTTCCTCACTTGGAGTTTACCAAACTGTGTGTGAGATGTTCATAGCCTGTCAGATAGTCAATCTTTTTATTTTTTAAATAATCATAAACAAGGGTAAACAAACACTTTTGATTTGTTAAAGTTTATTTGGATCAACATAATGCAGGTCTGCTTTGCATGCCCTCAAGAAAACGGAGGTAACTTGCACTGCTCCTCCTAGTTCATCTCAAGTCCTTCATGATTCTCACATTAGAGTCTATTAGAATCTTTTCCAAAGCTTGACAAAGGCATGCAACTCACATGCTTTTTACCAGCAAAGTTTGCAGGCAGCCCTGCAAAAAGTTGTTTCTCCTTGGAGCTCTGACACACATTCACTTCCCTCCTAGAACCAAGGATGTAAGGGAGTATGACTCAGTTGCATAGCCTCTTTGCTCTTAAAAAGAAAATAAAATTCCCCAGATATTTTCAAACTCCACCAGGAATAGAACATTCTCAGCTCTGCCTGTGGATCATTATCTCTTTTACATTTCATCTTTATATTCACTGGGTTCACAGAAAGGACATACGCAGAAAGAAAAAATAGCTGCTTCTTAGACACCAAATTTAGTAATTCTTTCAAATCTACTGGAACATATCTAAAAAGTCATATTTTTATAAGGCTTCCTTCAGTTTTCATAGGTTCCATCTTCTGAGAACACACATGCTGAATCACCCATAACCTCAAGCCAAAATACATCTGCAAACTACAAGAAATATTTTACAGGAAGACAAGAGCCACCACAATTAAAAAAGAGATATAATGGGTGGAGACAGACAGATGTAGGCTCATCTGGATCCTACTCTAGTGTCTTCCAAGCATCAAGATGCTAACTGATGAAGGCCATCAATCTATGGTGCTCCACGATTTCAGCCAATTCCAATAGCCTTACCTGTTAATATGAGATTACTATAAGTATTGGAGAATTGCTCCTTTAGAAGAACCAGATGCATCTGAGCTGCCTTCTCCCGTTGGAGCTCCAGCATAACATCAGGGTGCTGGGCAATCTTGCAGCCTTTCTGTTTATCCAAGGCAACATCACTTCGAACAATGTCTACAGAAAGAAAAAAAGAAGGCAGGCAGCAAAAACAAAAACAAAACAAAAAACCATACACACATCAAAGTCTTGTTTCACCCAAAATGACAGAATTTATAAACTACCAACATTTTCATCGGAATGAAGAGATTCAGAAGTAATAAACCTGAAGGGTCTCCAACTCCATGATACATCTTGCAATTTCCTCTGATCATTTCCAAATTCTTTGGAGATTTCTGTTCCTTAGCTTTCTCTGACCTCATTTAAGATTCTCATTCCTCTATTCCCCTTCTTAGCTCACTTCCAGGACTCATTTACTTCCTAGGGCCTTTTCTTAACATCTTTTACCATTCTCCATGGGGAAAAATAATACACCTTTGTCTGAATACCAGTGACTCTGAAAGTCATTTCCTCTACTTCAGGCTATAGGACCAGGTGATAGCTCCAGCATGTGTATTCAGGATACTTGGCCTATTTTCAAAGTTACCACCCAGGCAGCCCATTCAGCTCAAATTGGGGCTGCCATTCTGTAGGTTAGCTGCTTAGAATTTCTCCTGGTATTTTTCATGTACCTCTGGATACATTCTGATTCAGTAATCTCTCCTTCAATCTAGAAGTATTTTGTGGATCACTGAAGACACCAAGAGTAGAGTTAGAGTCACTTTGCAGATCTGCCTCTTTCCTAATTATTTGAGTGATAGACTGCTTTTTATATTGTAGTATAATTTTCACTCAGCGAAATGTATTCTCCAGAAAACAATCTTCCTCAAAAAAAAAAACACGTTCATCTAGAATGCTCCCCAGTTAGCAAGGAGCTTTCATGTCCTGAAATTATTTGTTTATTTTTACAAATTAAAACACAATTCAGCTGATTATATATAAAAACAGGATACTATCAGCAGCAATTAGGATAACAATTCTAGAAACTTCCAAGTTTTACATAGCAAACTGAAAAATTTTAGGAGAAAATACTAAAATATGACTGCTCTGCTACTGTTGACACCAATGGCTTTGGAAGGGAAAAACTAATGCCCCTGTTGATGGTACCAATAGGAAAGATTTGGCTCTTTAAGCAATGCTCAATGACACCTAGGAGAAAATAGGGTATGTGACATGAAGAGTGTAACATTCTAGACAGATAACTTTCAAATCCATCAATGGAGCCCTAAAAGAAAAGCCCAGATATACATACAAACCCATAACAATGAGGGTTAGGATGTATAGTACACAAAGACCAGCCAGATATGGAAATGGCCCTCACTTATTCTTAATGAAAACAGGGGAGCTGCTTGGAAATAACGCAGTATTTATGCCTAAACATATTTATACCAATTTCTAGAATGTGGGCAATAAAGTGAACTCATTTAACACAAGTAGCTAACTAATCTCATAAATTTTCTGATGCTTCAATACAAAATTAGAATAAATTAATTCAAGGATACACTCTAGTTTTTAAGACCATCCACTAGAAGGCAAGAGGAATAATAAATAGTTTACATTTATTTAAATTACACTCTATAAAAAACTTTTAAATTACACTGTATCATTGAATTTTTCCAACAATCCTCTCAAAGCATACAGCAGACATTGTTGACTAGCTGACCCAAACCCTAAACACAATCCCTTCTCCTTTGCCTTCCTCTACTGACTGACAAGCTAAAATATTCAATTTCCCAGCATTCCTTGAAGCAAGGGGTAGCCATGTAACATGTATCTGGCCAATGAGCTACAGGCCATCCCCTAGGGGGATTTCCCCTGTCAAATTAAAAGACAAAGCCTCACTAAGAGAAAGTTTTTTCCTTCAGTCTTTTAGTCCTTCCTATTCTTCATGCCTGAAACATAAATATGAGGCCTGGAGGTATAGTAGCCATTTTGTGACAATGAGTCAAGAAGCAAAAGGGCAAAGTATTACTACACTCTAAGGATAGTGAAGAGAAAGATGGAAAGAGCCTTAGTCCCCAATGTCTTTACTGAGCTACCACAGCTACCACACTTGTGCTAGACTGCCCATCTCTTGATTTCTTATGTGAGACAAATGCATCATTTGCAAAAGCCATTAATAGTTACCTATTTTTGAAATCCTAATCTGTTTTTCTAATGCCAAATGATAAAAAAAAAAATATTGGGGGCCAGCCCCGTGACCGAGTGGTTAAGTTCACACGCTCTGCTTCGGTGGTCCAGGATTTTGCTGCTTCGGATCCTCGGCATGAACACAGCACTGCTGGTGAGGCCATGGTGAGGTGGCGTTCCACATGCCACAACTAGAAGCACCCACAACTAAAATATATAACTATGTCCTGGGGGGATTTGGTGAGAAAAAGCAGAAGAAAAAAAAATAAGATTGGCAACAGTTGTTAACTTAGGTGCCAATCTTTGAGAAAATAAAATTATTATCTCTATTGTATATATGAGGTCCACAAACCTTAAGTGACGTGCTCAAGTTCACATAGCCTCTCTAAGCCTCAATTTCTTCATCTCTTGTTATCGTGAAGATATGTAGGGGCCAGCCCAGTGGCGCAGCGGTTAAGTTCACATGTTCCACTTTGGCGGCCCAGGGTTCGCCAGTTCAGATCCCGGGTGCAAAAAGTATGACTGCTTGTCAGGCCACGCTGTGGCAGGCATCTCACATATAAAGTAGAGGAAGATGGGCACGGATGTTAGCTCACGGCCAGTGTTCCTCAGCAAAAGGAGGAGGATTGGCAGCAGATGTTACCTCAGGGCTAATCTTCCCCCCAAAAAAAAGATATGTAAAGTACTAGCACTATGCATGCCACATAATAAGAGCTCCATAAAGGGTAGCTATTATTATTTTTGTTATTAGTATCCAACCTGTGGTATTACATTTATTTCCAGCTGCAACAGTCTCAGCAGGATACTAACTGTCTAGAGTGCATCCAAGGAAAAGTATAAAGATAGGAAATAATTTTTATTTTTTTAAATAGTTGACAATATTGAAAGTGTTGAACCTAGCAAAGAAAAAACTAAAGAAGACTTGCTTTCATACAGAAGAGATAACTGACTTATTCTGTGTAAATCCAGAAAGCCAAACATTATGGGAATAACCAAAAGACATATCATTTAGTTCAACATGAGAAAACTACCAGAAGCTATCAAATAAGGAAAAGAGCTACTTGAGGATGGAGTGAATTTTCCAGTCCTGGAGGTATTCCAGCACAGACTGGGTGACACATACACAATAAATGATTCCAGTATAGGCTTTAAAACCTGCCAGGTATAGGGTTAGGCTGTATCACCTATAATATAACAGATAGTTAAAGGCACAGGTTTTGAATCCAAACAGATACAAGTTCAGATCCCCGCTCTACTACTTACTATATGACATCTCTTGGACAAATCACTAAAGCTCTTAATGCCTTCCCTAATTTTTAAAAATGAGAAAACTTAATAGCATATTTGTGATGAGCTTACACAGTGATAGGGACATATTAGGCATTTAACAAGTGCTGGTTGTTTCAGTGGTTGCTAATAATAATTATAATAATATCAGAAAGTTATTATTAAAGGATATTATTATTCCTTTAGGTCATTTTTAACTCAAGAATTTTATGGCTCTACAAAAACATATACTTTTCTTGTGTTCTTTGCCAGCCATAAGAGAAAGAATAAAGACTCAAAGCCAGAAGACTTAGATATGAATTTCAACTAATTTACCAAATAACCACGAAACCATAGACTAAAAACTTAACATCCTTGTGCTTCAGTTTTTTCCTGGTCTACCAAACTGAGAAGTTGATGGTGTGGATGATCTCTAAATCTCTACTCTTTCCCTACTAGCACTCCCCTCCTTGCTGATATTCTTGGTTGTTAAATGATCAAAGTGGTTCCAAATATCAAGCTATCCGTATGTCAACTCCTCACCTCCCCTATGATCTTTACCCTGATATATAGTTCAAGGATGCCAAAAGACCCAACACATACCCTGAGGGAGGTACCAAGCGAGAGAACATCTCGTACCAAAGTTGATACCCTGATGTCAAGTCATTGCCCATCATTATTTCTGGACACATGAGCATGGCAGTGTTTGTATTTTTGTTCTTTCTTCTTTCTGCTACATGTCTTTCTCCATGCTTCAACCATTAGTAACCCACAGTTCCGCTAGCCTAAGGTTGCAGTTCTGGTTGGGGCAAGCAGCAGACTGGCAGACCAGCCAAAAATTTTAATAGGGAGTCCTAGAATTTTCAAAGACATAAAAATGAGCTATGTAAGTTTTCCACATATCCTTGGCTGACTAGGAGGCTATGTGCACATGCAGGGGAAACTCAATATAGGAAAAGTTCTTCACACAAAACTGGCTAACCGGGAGACTGTACACAAACACAGGGGACACCCAAGAGGCTGTGAGGAAAGTAAAAGGCAAGGCAGACTTAAAAACTGCCGCAAAACTAAATATTCCTACCAATCCTCACAGAAATCTACCAGCAGAGTGTAGAAGCCTTAATGACTCAAAGAATTTGAAATACACATTCTGAACAATCATTGGCTGATCACTAAGCTGTGAAGACTCAGAGGTAAACTTTAGGAAGCCAAGCTAAAAAAGTTTCTTAAATAATTTTAAAAACTGAGAAGAAATATCAGTGACAGCACAAGATAGAAAAATTAAGTCCAAGTAATTTATTTTTTAAAAAGTAAAAACAACAACAATTCTCACGGGGAAAAAATAAGATTACAGATTGGCTACAATATAACTAAAATGTCCAGTTTCCAACAAAAAATTACAAGTCATGCAAAAAACAGGAAAGTGTGACCCATATCAAGAAAAAAAGTAGTCAACAGAACTAAATATATGTGATCCCAGAAGCCAAAGACTTCAAAGCAGAGATTATAAATATGTTTTAAAAACTTAAAAGGGAGTAGGCCTGGTGATGTAGTGGTTAGGTATGCATACTCTGCTTTGGTGGCCCAGGGCTTGCCAGTTCAGATCCTGGACATGGACCTACACACTGCTCACTAAGCCATGCTGTGGTGGTGTCCCACATACAAAATAGAGGAAGATTGGC